ACTGTCAAGTCAGCAGTTTTCCCCTGACTGATTAGACTTTAACATAGCATCTATCCTTACATTGTCTCCACCCATTAGGAGGGAGCGCAAGCGGCTGGTACATTTCTACATCAATTAGTGGGCAAGAGTTGTGATAAAACATTTCTTTTGTAATGTTAACTTTTTTTTTCTTTTTTTTTTATACTGTAAGTTGTCACCATCAAACTCAACCGATATATCCGGAGTGTGTAAAATGAAATCTATGGCACACATGAATTATATTTACAACTGTTAGTACTGAACTACCAATGGGACATTGGAGAGGAGAGAGCTGTTGTTTTCCAGAGACCCAAATGGAGTTCAATGAAACGTCTGCGTTCGCATCTGGTCTCCATCTTGTCTGACTAATCTTGAACTAAGCTTGAAAAGAGGAATGCCGTACAATTGCTGTACAAACCACCTTATTTTCATTGATAGTGATGTGATATTCTGTAACATAAAATTTCTGTGAAATTCAAGGAATTTTTATTTTTTTTCTCCTTAGCTTTGAGCCCAACAGAGGGCGAGTGGAGACAACCAAACCACTGACCGTCCTCTTTCCCTGAAACCGGAGAAGTGCCTCTTAAAGGGAGTCACTTGCAATCAGAAAGCCTCCATTTAATTACAACACACAGGAAATTACCGAATGAATGGGTCAGGTGCTGATAAGAGGCTGAGTCTCGGCAATGATAGCTCCTGAAACCCGAGGAGACCCCGATCTCAACGCTGAATTATCACAAAAGGCCACGTCTGGAAGCCTGACAATCTGATTGTACTGTCATCCAGATTCATAATTAATATATTTATCGAATTAATCGCTGAAAAGAGCCCTGGCCTTCTGAACAGAAGGCAGATTCATTCACGGCTGGCTCGACTTACCTCTAATAACAGTGTTGTCAGTGCAATAGGCCCCAGAGTCGAACGATCCTCCAAGACGTCATGACAGACAAATTGCTCATCTGTGTGGAGATGATATGAGGAATTTTCGGAGTAAAAGAAAGAAGAAACTGTCCTTGTTTTGGTGACATTCACTGCTGTAGTTTTGTTTCAGACTGTGAGACCAGGTTGGAAGAACATGAAAGAGACATTTGCTGTGTAAAGAAATGAAAGTAGATGTTGTTATTGCTCTGATTTAACAAATCACTCAGCAAAGAGGTGCTTTGTTTCTGCTATATGTTGCCTAGAAGAAGATTCATCACAGCATTTGAAATATTATAAAATGTAATACTTGGATCCGATAATATGCTAATTGTAAAAATTATTTAATCCCTTTAAGGCTTTTTCCTATTTGTTTTTTTTGTAAGCAGTCATGTTTCTCGTGGTTTTATTTCAGTCGTAGTTTTCCTCTTGCCACTCTTCCATAAAAGCCAGATTTGCAGAATGTACAACTAGCCGTTCTTTCAACAAATTCTCCCACCTCAGGTGTGGATCTCTGGATTCTTGGCTGATTCTCTGACTAAATGTTTTTGTCCTATTGTGTTATTATTATCCTTGCTCCTGAGAATAAGTTTTTTTTTTTTGTACGGTAGACATTCCCTCTTTCCCTCTTTCGAGCTCAGAGTTCAGACCTTTGTTCTGTTGAAACCAACCACAAATTGGACACATATGGTATTGCGGACACCCATCATATGGCTAAAAAGGAACTGGTTGAGAGTAAAGAGGTCCCTGGTTTCCCATCTGGGACCCTGAAAAGGTTATAATGGACTTTAATCACCGATAAACTGCACAATCATTTAAAATGACTAAGATCTATCATTGCATAATAGATTACATCACACCTAGTAGCACATTGTGATTTTAGGCAACCAAACCCAGGCGGCTGATCAACAACCTAGCTTTAAACGACATTAGAAAAAATATAAAAAAGTAAATCATTTGTGCAGACCCTGCACATTCCCTTACATTTAAAGTGCAAATAGTTTCCCTTCACTGCTTTCTTGTTTACTCTGCGATAACATTTTTTTAACACGTTGTACTCCGCAGTACTTGTGCTGCTTGTTTTCACGCGGTCGATCCTCGGCTAGTTGCGCTCCTTATGCCACACTGAGAGCCCGGGCGCTGTTTCAGACTGATTGGAGCCTCTCCTTGGCAGCACGCAGCTGCACAAAGCAGGTGGGAAAGGCTTTTTGCAGTGGGGCCTTGCTCACTTCGAGGGCTCTCTTTGTAATTGCCGGCAATTACAATATGTGGCACGTGACGCTCCGCGCTGTTTTCAAACACGATGAAAGGGCAACGAGGTCCCCCCTCATATCCAGCCATAATTGAACAATTAAACTTTAGCATACTAACTACCTCTTCATTTGGCAGAACTCATTATGGAGGCAAGCTACACACAAAAAAAATGGCTCTCTGGGGTCAAACTCATAATAGTTTCTCTGGACCTAATACTACCTCAGACTTATTGAATGACAGGAAATACTGCTTATCTGTTTTGTAGTTCTGCTTGGGCATCACATTTTACAGGATGCCTACCTTTTAAGCTACATCATAAAAAAAAAAAACTGTTGAATATAGGTATAATATTTGCATGAGCTCATCCTGGTGCATACCAGTTTATACATTTGATCAGGTTTGAAATCACGCTGTTTGGTTGAGGCAGTCAGTCTCTGAAAAATGTCCTAATTTGCTTGGAAAATAAAACGTCTTTTGAGGGAGCATATGGAGAATCTCTCATATTAATAATGCAGTGGGAATGATTAGAAATAAGTGAGGCAAGCATTAATGATGTCATGCAGACATCACATCTGCAAATGAGATGTGGCGATTTGAAAAATCATCTCTGGTGGACAAAAAAAAAAAAGATCTTCCTTTTCTTCTTTACTGATATCATGAATTCACATCATCCCCCACAATCGATGTTACTCCTGATAAAAGTCAGGTTTGAATTGGTCAGAATTTTTAAACATTATAAGTCATTTGTGTCAGTTTAAAATATTCCTACTCCGCAGATGAATTCTTCTCTTAACTAAATATATTTAACCGTAACAGATTTTAAATCTGACATCCTTTATGCCCTGAACTGCATATTAAATGTTTCTCTGAATTCTGATCAAGTTAAAACAATCAAAAATATATATTTTTAAAATGCTTTAGTTACATTTATGCCATAGAAATTTTTGGAGATACAACTAATTGTGCCACTGATTATTTTGTGGATGGTTTTGCTATTATTCCCAAATGAATGCCAGTACTTGTGGAAAGATTTGTAGCTAAGAAAGAAATGTGTATTATTGTCAGTCTCCAAATTATTCCGCTTTGGCTGTAAATCGCCCATATAATACTCCCATAAGTTCAAACGCTGTGTAATTACACCTGATAATGTCCCTCAGGCACTCTATGAGCTCTCCAGGTGCATTAGGTGAAAATTGGATTAACTCAGGCAATGGACAAAGTGCTTCAAGGGCCACTTGGAGAAGGCAGTGGACATTAAAAGAACCTGCTATTTAATCAGTTTAAAGGTCTGCATAAGAAATTTACATTTCTACAAACATAAGAACATTGAAGAAAAAAAAATGTTTATGCAAGACAGAAAATGACATGACAAATTCCTCCTGCAGGCAGTCAGTGATAAGAAATATGATTAATTTGATATCAATGCCAACAGAAAAGCCAAACCATTGGAGCATGGCCCACAACTCATATATGTGTCATTTGCGAGTTCAAACACAAGATGATTATACATGTTGATATATCAAGGCAAGAGATGAAAATGATTGGAGCTATATCATGAGGTGGTGATTCTACACTGTATTAAACAGCACAAAGGGGCTTTTGTCATTGAATTCCCACAGCAGTTCAGCCACTATCGCCTCTGCTTTAATTTAATATCTATTTATTTCACTCCATTGTATGGGTTTTATTGAGGTTGTGCCTGTTTTATCGGCTCAATCTAAACCAGAAGTGAAGGTCAGGAGAGGCAGAGTGCCTCTATTTATTGGCTTCCATTGAGCCCATATGAGCTGATTTGGCTATCTGGTTTTGATATTAAGCTCTTTCACAGCATTTTCTGCTCTCCGGATATTGTTTATCACCACACTGAGATTTTTTGCAGTGCATTTACTACTGAATTAAATATTCTTCATCATTTTTGCAATATCCTCTTTGCAGGCTCGCGCGGGATGTGCCAGCATGTGTTCTTACCGACTATCTATGAGAATGAGATTAATAAAACAAGCCAAAGATTCATTTCTTCCCTGTCCTCAAACAAGTTAGAACAAGTCAAATATTTGGATTTGTGGAAAACTTCTTCATATTACCCAACTCTTATGTTTTATATTTATCAAATACGCTGCTCACCTTTATGTTAATTTGAAATATATATCTATCATATGTAATATCTCCTCTTGCTTTACATTTCTTTTGCCTGTTCATTCTCGCCAATTATTAGATAATTCTTTTGACACAAAAAGGTTTTTCTTTCAGTGTATTTAAAGACAAACCAGTTACTTTTAGGTCAAGAGTTTTTTTTTTTCTTTTAATCATAATTTTGCAAAGACTAAAGAACTTGTTTTGCACATTCTCAATTGGATTTGTGTCTGAACCTTGACTTGGCTGCATGTTTAGAATCATGAATACTTAAGTCATTTTGAAACATTTTGCAGGTTTCCTTCCAGGACTGCCTGGAATGAGCTTGATCCATTTTCTTATCAACACCAAACAATACCAAAAGCATCCCGCCGCATGATGTCACTACTATTAGGCCTCAATATGTTGTGTTTGGGATAAAGAACTCACCATTTTGAATATTTTACATATTTCTGATTTCAGTTCTTTGAAAGCAGAGAGCCATTTTGGTAAGAACAATAACTTTTTTTTTTTGTTTCTGGAAAAGAAATTACAAACGGAACTGTGTTTTGATTATATGCTACAATGACCTGCCATACTTTCATAAGCCCATTAGTTAGCTCCTTGAGTTACTGCTACTGACTGACGTCCTCTCTGACGTCACGTCGTGGCAGAAATATGACTCTGCAGGTGGCGCACGTGGTCTGTTGTTTACTTCTTCCAGGAACGTTTTGGTTGGCCCAGCTGGAAGGGAGCAGGGGACGCTGGAATTGTGAAACAGTTTTCCTGGATAGAGTTACTCAGCATTTAGGAGAAAATAGATTGAGTATAGAGGCCGGAAAGATGTCAGACTGAAAGCTTTTCCTCTTCCGAAGCAGTTTAATCCTTAAAAAGAGAAGAAAAAGTAAGTATAGCTTGTTTCCTGGAGAGCTTGTGTGTGTCACGCATGGGTTCTTTGTTCTAATCCTCTCTGTTTTGCCCAAGTTCAAACAACCAAATGCCCGCAACAAAACTGAGAAAGTTATATATTAGGACATCACTTTTCCACTGAGCGTTTTCTTTAGCTCTAAACGTTATTTACCTACTCCATTAGCATAGATATGATATAGAAAGGCAGGATTAGGCAAAAACACGTGTCTTACGAAGCTTAAAAGTGGTAAATAATGGCATAACTCAAACATAAGTTATTGACCTTGTTTTGAAACACTTAAAAAAAAAAAAAAACTCGGCTTGATATCGTCCTCCTTACTCCAATACCCCCCAAATATAGTTCAGTGGAAATAATTGTCTTCAGAATTCACCCTGATGTAAAATCTATATGACTCCAGCTACTCTGTAAAAATCTCAGAAGTTTGTTAGAAAACATCTTGCAACAAAAATGACTATGAAGACAGAGGAACACAGCAGATAAAGTTGTCGGGAAGTTTGAAACAGGGTTATGTCATAAAATAATGTCCATAACATCTCACATCTAACAGAACAGTATTCAAATATTGATGTTTGTGAGTGCAGTATGAACAATTTTTGCAGGGCAATTTAAATACAACATACTGTAATAATGTAAAAATGTGTTCTAACTTCATATCTTTTGTCCAGATATCATCTAGAATGCTTCAGTTTGGAAATCTCTTTGCCCATTTTCACCTTCCTCACAAAGCTTCAGAAAGTGCTCAAAAACGAAGCTTAAAGCAGCTTCCAAGCCTTCCAGACTTTTTACAACATGTCATGTAAGCACGATGTCACACTATGTATTGATTTTACAAAATAGGATAAATGTATTGCTAAGTTATGTTGTAAAGTTATAGTTCTCATTTTTAAAAACGTGTCTTGAACTAAATATAGTGAATTTAACTAACTTTCTCCTCTAATCAGATATCTTGCCAACCACAAAGTGACAAGACTCTCGTCAAAAATAAAATAACTCTTTCATACCGATCCTTTTCTAGAAATAGAAAAGGATCTCAATATTTGTTGGAAAAAAGTTAAAATCTGTGATTATGTCTCTCATCAACAAGCTGATACTCAGTCCTGTTATAGCTAATTAAGCCAATGAGAGCTTTCATCTTCTTCAAGGATTGCCATTGAACATGCTTTATATTAGATTTTAACTGTCTAAATCAATTGTGTCATGCATATTATTAAAGCCTTAATTGCAGCAAAAGTTCTGTCATCACAGTGGTACACCCTTATGTGTATCAAAGTCCAAAAACCTCAGTCATGTCAACAAACCCATAATATATTAGTACAGGGTGTTTTTAGCTTAATGAGTGCCAGGACTTAACATATTTAATGGGTAACTTGTATATTTACTAATGCAGAGTAGATCCTATTAAGATCTTTTGGTTTCGTCTTCTGCAGAAAACTCACCGGGCTGAGGAAGGAAGATGTACACTGCGATCTTCGTGTCCCTGACCAGCATCAAGCCGCCAAAGACGACATCAACATGGTCATCCTGACAGGTTTGAAAGCGTAACCTTTCATGGTGGTTATTAATTATTTGTACAGGGATGTGAAAAAGTGTCGTCCCATTACAGATTGCTCGTAGAATTTTGAGGAAAGAGATCAGTTTAATCTAATTTGGAAGAAGGATGTCACATAACAAAATGTGGAAAAAATTTGAGCATAGGGAAGGCTTTTCAGAAGGACTGTAAATGTTTTGGATCATTAGACAAATGTTAAGCCTGGCTAAAGATCAATTTGAGTAAATACAAATTACCTTGTTTTGTCCTGTAAGTGACATTTTCTTTTACAAACCAGTAATGTTGCATGGCATAGAGGCGCCTTATGAACAGAGAATGATGGCCTTTGACGTAGCTGTTGTGTCGGACCTTTGCTACATGCTTTCCCCCCTTCTTTCTCTGTCCATTTCCTATCTGATTAGTTTGAATAAAGTTCCACTAGTGCCATATTTTCTTAAAAAAAAAAACAACAACAAACAGAAGAAAAATACCGATAGACAAAAGCATGATTTTGGAGAATCAATAGACATTCACCTTTGTTTAACTTCTTTTTGTTTTGTTTTTTCAGGTCGTGGGATCTTCTGCATGGATGTTAAGCCCTGGAGTGGGACAGTGTGTGCTCACAACCAAAACTGGCATGTGCAAGTTAAAGACAAAGACGAGAATTTTTCCAATACTCACATTGAACAGGTTGAAGATCCCCTCAAAGCTGTCATGGTAAACAGACTCTATTAATAGAAGATTGCTTCAAAAAAAAAAAAAAAAAAAAAAAGGAGATTTGCTAGCATACTTAAGCTCAAGGTCCAATTAATTATCTAAATCACTGAATTCATACAAACTGCTACAGGGTTAAGAGACTCTGTGTCGCTGTAACAATTTATATGGAAATTTCAAACACTGCAGCAGGGCTACCTAAACTTCACAAGTGGGCACTCTTATAATTGCGTTCACAGACAGAGGGGGCGGTACAGGGGGTGGAGGGGGGTTTGAAAGCAGGCAGGTGCCTAAACACAGCTGTGACCTGACGTTGCTGTGTCTGTTAGGAGTCACTCATTTCCATTTCTATAGATACTTCAGTATGACAGGAAGCTTGATTAGAAGACCGTTCTGGCAAACACAAGCTGCACTGGTAAAATTGTTCAGTCTGCAGATTCACTCGAGGGTTACATCACTTCCCTTGCCTTTAGGGTCACTGGTTACCAGCCTTTCTTCTTCTTTGAAAGCCTCCAATTGTAATTATAACAGAGGTCATGTATACATGACCAAAACAGTTGGTCCCTAAAATGGATTTTATATCCTTTTTTTTTAGTTATCTTTATTTTATTTTTTGTCCAATGCTGCGACGGATTGGACAAGTTTGTAGAATGGTAGAAAAGCACACAACAAAAAACAACTATGTATATCAAGGTGTTTATGATTAACCGCTTTATTTACAGTTGGAGTTGATATTAACTGCAGTGTCATGTCGTCATATGAAAGTCACTTATGGTAAAAGTGCATGCCAAATGCCAAATACATAAACTTAAGCAAGACAGCAAGACATCTAGGATCCATACTGAACCCACCTTTTACGCAGATCTTCATGTATCAAACCTACAGTATTTAAGTATTTATAGAATGTGGCCCTTCGTTATCCCGTGGAAAAGCCCATCTGAGGCCATTTTTTATCTAGTTTCTTAACCATATGTTTTGCACACATCGGAGTACCACAAGCATCAGTTTATCTGTGTCAATAACTTGTTTGGCCAGAGATTACTTACTAGTAATTGAATGACAAAATGAAGTACTATTAGTTTTATTCAGAGACACGGTATAAGATATGCCAGTATGCTAAAGGTACCAATGACGCATTTTTTAAACCTGACAAAGAAGTTGAATCCTTCCAGATGTTTAGCTACAAAATGTTACTTTAATAGGACGATAAAAAAAAAAGAAAACGTATCATCCATATCATTAGGGTGATATTTAAAAATGAACAGCCAAAAAAGAAAAGTAGACATTACATTTTTTTTCTCCATTGTGTTTAACTGTCTCTTCTTCTAGCGCAAAACGGTTCAATTATGCAGTCACTTGAAGAGGAGCGGAGTGCCTGTACGCAACAGTCTCTTCTTCTCCAGAGTCATCTTTCTCTCCCCCGACCTCAAGCTGGATGAGGAGCTGATGAAGAGAAGGGAGCTGGTACCTTACAGCCAGATAGATGAGTTCCTCAAATCTTTCAAAGAGGGCTATATGGGCTGGATATCTGATGCTGTGACTCCCTCCTGGATCTCAGGTGAATGGATCAACAGGCTTCAAAAATGTGCATAATGGCTCAAACCCTCATGGTCTTCACAAAGCTTGTAGAACCACATTTTTAGTGTTGAGCTTAAGTTATTAAATTAAATTGACCAAAATCAAACAATTCAGTTGTATTTTTTTTTTCTTATTGCTCTGCAGGTCATCTGTCGTACAGGCAGATGGAGTCGGTGCGAGGTGTCCTCAGGAAGATGGGAACGTGGGACCTGGTGCTTCTGCATGGTGGTGAGCAACTGAAAGGAGACTACCAGGGCTGCCAGTACATCGCGCTGGACCGCCAGGACACTGAAACGTTGGAGTTTTCCAGAGTCAAGACCCTCGCTGCTGAGTCATTGTGGGCTTTGTTAGGCCACGTTCCTCAGGTGAGTTCACAAACCTGACTGGTGACTTTACATGCTATGTAGTGATGTAAAATGTAATGGCGGACATGATCCAGCAGGGGGCAGTAGTACTTTATGGCTGCCTAACTGAACTCTGTTGTTTATATCTACATGTTGTGGTGTGAACACAGTGCCTGGGAGTGCACTCGTAGCGTAATATAACACAAGTTTAAAATGTTACTTGAACCCTTTTTTAAGGTAAAGCTTTATTTCAAAATGTAAAATAAATAAAAAAAATGAAGCAATAAATTTTTATGAGACATTTAAATGAAAAGTTCTTTGTATTTTTTGCAATGAAGAAAGCATTGGTCATTTTCAATCTCTTTTAAATAAAATAATAACCATTAAAAAATCTAATTGCTTGAGAAAGAACATGTAATTTCTTACACCAGAAACGGCGACATCTAGAACAGCATAGTTTTCATCAGTGATTGAAGACTGCAATAATGATTCTTGGTTTCTTTTTAGTGCAGCCAGACTAAAGCAGAGTCACAGCTTTGTGAGGCATGCATTTCTTTATCTGTCAGTAGGGATGACTTCACAAAGTTCTTTGTAAATAAAATCAATTCTAATTTAAACAAAAATGATTAGCTTCCATCCCAAAATTGCAACTTGCTCATTTCTAGACAAAGTTCCCTTGGTAATAACTCTATAACCTGATTTGTGTGTATTTTTTTTTTACTGATTTTAAATGATCTTAGCTTCATCTACAACTTTGACATTGATCTTAACCGTCATTCCCAGTAGATATATATGTAGATATTTTGTCAGTGTTTGCAGCAATATACCAATTGGCATTATATGATTAACTGAATTCCAATGTATTTTATCATAACAAGATTTCTCATGGATTTATGAACTGAATTTGAATTGGACTGCATGAGTGGATTGTTTTGGATAAATCTGGGTTGAATTGAATAGGGCCTGCATTTAAATAATTGGTTATTTGAGGATTCATTGAGGTTACATTTGTTGTAAATTGACACCCTACAATCTAGATTAATTGAATTAAATTTATGTTTTGAAAAACCACTTAAACTGATGTGATTACCTCTACAAATGTCAATTACTGCCACAACCTCCCTAGTTTTTCAGGATGGTAAGGTAATTAATTTTGTTTACCTGCCAGTTGTTCACTTGGAAATGAGAGATTTTTCAATTACCTAGTTTTTCATCATTTTATTTCAATTAAAAATTAAAAATAAAAACAGTAATCTGGAAACAAAGAACTAATTGAAGAGATTGTAACTACAATAGTAAATAGTAAAGCAAGGTTTTGCTTTCATATCCCAGACTAGAAAAAATAATGAAACTAAAAATGTCCAACATCGATGCCACAACTCTTATAAAAGGCCATTGCTAAACCAAAAGATCACAAAATGGATACACATCAGACGAAAGTTGAGATTTTTTTCTTTTTATCTTTCAAGCATTTGCTTCATCACACTCACATTATCACTTTATCAGTTATAAGAATACATTTAAATCTGTTTAACATTTTACATCATTTAAGTTCATTGTATGCTTTATATGCTTATCCAGTTGTGCAAGTTTAATGTAGTCTATTTTTTCAAAAATGTCACTTGTTGGCTAAATTAACAAGTCTGGCAACTTAAAAAAAATCATTGGTATTAGGTAATTAGGTAATCAAAAACACAGCAGCATATATAATGAATTCTGAAGTGATAAATGTTTAATGCACTTGACTTTAACATTTTTGATTTAGTATAATTTATGTGACTCCCACCACTGCCTATTGCAGATAATGTCTGTTACAGACCTGGTTAAAAATATGAAAAAACAAACAAACAATCTTTTACTTAAAATTAATTGGCGTCAAACCAACTTTTTAAGTCGTCTCCTATTGTTTCCACACAATCCTTCCCATAACAATACAAATGTGGGTTTTCTGCTACCAGTAAAGATGGAAGCCATTTAGAAACTGTATGGATATTATTAATTAGAAGAAAAACATTGTGTCTTGGCACTGATACTTGAGGAACACCACATGAAATCCGTAGCAATTGTTAATCTGTATGTAGGAATGCAGCTAAATTTTATTCATGTTCTTATTTACACATTGAAAAAATATATTCTTGGACATTTTTATTCAGGACTTCTCACAAAAAAAAATATTTGCTGATCATACATCACTTTCAATTGTCAGTTAATTTGCTTTGAAGGCTGACATTACTTCTTCAACACCAAGGAGCGTGACCTGTGGTCCGCATCCATTACTGATTCTGCACCCAAACACCGAGCCTCGGCCTCCCATGCAAGTCCAGGCTTCAGTTTGCACCCAGCCCCCACCCTCAAAAACCCAAACCCAGAGTATGCACTCTCACTACTCGCCTCCAGCTGCTGTGTATTTGATACACGACCCGGCAGTCATTAGAAGGTCTCCAGCAGACTCCTTTCTAGCCTATGGGGACACATGCAGCAAAAGAAAAATATTTTGTTTTCAAAGACATATTTTTAACTGCAAATGTGTCACAAAGCCTAACGTACCCTTCAAAATGTTTTTTTTTTTTTTTGCTGTACTAGGCCACATTTGTTTTAATATATATTTCAACAAACTTAAATACATGAACGGATTTATGCATAGAACACGTTCAGCTTGAAGCCTGTGCCATCCACTGTATGCAGGATGACATCCACTTTACTCGTGTGCAGCTGCTGCAAAGGGGAAGCTTGAGGGGATGCAGGGAAACCTAATATCTCCCCTGGGCATATTTTCAGGGCTCAGAAATAATGCATGCTTTTGATTTGTTACTTGTAAACACACAGGCTGAAAAACCTGTGGTATGACCTTACAGTTTCACTCGGGCATCTGTTTGCTCTGTTAAAAGGGGCGTCAGATCGCGTGTGTTTTACCCGTGAGCTCGGGTAATTGCTCCGCAGTGAATGGGAGGTCTACATGCTCCAAAGTGGAGAATGATAGAGTAGAGTGGCTGTAATTTATTAATTACGGTCTATATTCTTAGACCACGGTCCTGGCTTCATTCAATTTGTATGGATTGAGGAGTAATTACTGTGTGTGTGTGTGTGTGTGTGTGTGTCTCTGTGTGTTAAGAAGGCAGAGTAAGAGGTGAAAGTCTGTTCACATCAGGATCCAAAGTGCAGGTTTATTTTTGTATTCATCTCTGCGTTACATCCTGTTTGGTTAGGTTGTTTTTTTTTTGTTTTTTTTTTTTTTTTTTCAATGAAACATGACATTATTTGTCAGTTTCTTCAAAAAGCACTCCTTAAAGTTTCCAATTCCATGCGGCCATTTAACATCTCCACTAATAAAGAGACTGTACAAATACGGGTGTCTCGGTTGCTGGAGGTACATCTTGTCTCTCTGACGGGCCACAGGTTTCACACAATTGCAGCTTGTTAATTCAACTCCACCCTGACATTCCTCTCCGTTTGGCTGTCTCGTGGGCTGCACGTGTCGCAGGCTTGTAATGGACAGCCTGGTGCATGTCGAGCTCGGCGCAAATGAAAAGGTTGAGAGGAGAGGGACATCAACTGCTTTGTGGTGGTAATGAACGATGGCAAACAGTAAAAAGGGCCCGGAGCAGGTCATTTACAAAGCCTGACAATTCTGCTGCCCAAATAGATTTTATCGGGATCGACTGTCGCCATTCGCTCTCTCTTTATGATCAGTTCAAATTATTTATAGAGACGTCACAAAATACTCACATTGTTGATTTTAATTGTCTTTTCATATATTGTTAGGCTCACAAAAACAAAAAAAAATTGATTTTCGCAAGGTGTGCTTTTTATTGAAAAACAAAAATGAAGGTTTCACACATAATAGTAACAATTTAATATTCCAGTCCAACTTTGACTAATCTGTATAGTATCTAGACAGAAGCAATGACGTTTTTATGTTTTTACAAGTAGAATAAAGCCCTGGTTTTGAAACACTGATGGTTTCTGGACTGGTTTTGGTGGTACTAAGAGGCCATTTTTACAAGTACAAATATGATGCAGATTAGATGTAATTTAGATTTAAAAACCAAACAACTAAAAATTATTTGTCACGCAAATCTTTGCTGCAGACAGTATACCTTCCACTGACCTCTGAAGTTGAAACCCTTGAAATGATATTAATCAAGCACGACGGTGTTCTTGGTACAAGCCAGATCAGTAGGATTTACCAGTTATTAGAGAGTTAATCTATTCTGCTATAGTGAGTTCATCTATTCTGAGTTATTCACTAAAGTTCCCCTTACAAGTTTTGTGATAGATAGTCTCCCATGAATCTGTCATGCACTTTCCTCAGCAGCTTTTACAACTTAAATGAAAATTGTTTCCAAAATAAAGCACCAGGATATTCAAATTTCTGTAATTTCAGGATCACTCTTGAAAGAAAATTAGAATTGGAAATAATTTGCTCTGCAGTGTGCGTGTGTGCGTGTGTGTGTGTGTCTGCGTGTAGGAAGCCGCTGAGGAAAACGTAATTACACAAGAGACGCGTGCTGCAGTATCACAAGTGTCTGTGATTAGCTAGTAAAGACGTGGTCCACTTACATAGTCGAAGGCAATGATAAAAGCTGCGACGTGTATAAACTTGGTAAATATTCTTTTTTTCTTTTCTTTTTTTTTCACTCAAGTACTGAGAAGTAGTGAGAAGTCCCACAGAGAGAATCTGCTTATGTCCATTTGAAGATGACTCTCTGCCTTTTCTCTAAATTTATCCCCCGGTGTGATATAGCAGTCATGTTGGAGAGCTCTTCAACCACTCTTTTGTTAATTTAAACATCTGCTGTCAAGGTTCATGTTTTACACATCCTACTTAACACATGCAGTTCCAGTTAATTTGAATATATGTTTAAAAAAAAAAAGCTTGAAGGCATCAATATTCATTCAAAAGTTGGTCTGTAGCAAGAAATAGACATTTGAATTTTATTACAGAACAAATGGGAATACTTACCAAAGGTAGGTGACATACAATTATTTAAAGAAAGTCACTCAGGAAAGTAAGATCATAT